AACCGAGTCCAGCTGGAGGGTCAACCAGTGGTCACATTCTCTCTATGACTCCTACAACAGACCAGCTTCTTGAATCTTGGGTAACTCATTCAATTGGGGTCATTTTTTAAGGTCATGGGGAAAATATCTCTATATATACCTACAAATAACTCCCTGTGCTTCTTAAAGGGAGCTATTTGTTTGGCTTATAAGATCACCTTGTAGGATATTCTTGAGTTCTCATGGGCTTCTCTAGTTCAAGTGGATGCATGAAAACTCTAAGTATACTTTGGATCTTGTGTTTGCCATGATGGAGATAAACAGGAACAATGTGCTCTGACCAAACACAACCTTCAGATATCATGTCTATTTTACCGACCACAGTGATGAAAGGACCTTTGAGAGCACCATGATGTGACCTCAAGACACAGCCAGACTGTCCCTAATGTTACCCGTGAGAAGCAGAACAATTTATCAGTTCATCAGTTCAGGAAGCACATCTGCATTTTCTGCCCAGAAGGGGCCACTGCTGGAACTGTACAATTCCCACAGGTGCAAATGAAAGTAGGGTGGGGAAGGGCAGTGATGAAATGTAGTTTCCTCAGCACCATGTTTCTGACAGTGTGTGAGAGGGGAGCCAGACTTATGCATTTTCCAGGTGAATGCACATTCTTAGGGTGGTGTGTCCTTTATTTGAGGTCAGGATGAGGAGTTAGGAGATAAAAAGAAAAACAGAGGCATTCCTGACATAGTAAATCAGAGTGATTTCCAGGAAACCTGCTACTAGACTATTATTTTCCAGACAGTTCTTAAAGGGAAGAAGGAAAACAGATAGTGAAACGGAAATATCTTCTCCATCTCTCAATGCTCGATGCTGAATATCCACAGACCTTTTCTTCTTACATTGGATGGGTGACCAATCGATGACGCTACTGCCCAGCAGTGTTCCCCCTGTATGATGAGCACTGGTTGCAAACTGGGCCTCGCTTTTCTGTTTTCCTTGAGATCGCTCATTGTTCTTTGGCTCTGCCCCTCAGTTTCCATCTGTCAGATGGCCTCCAGGGATGCTTCCATCCCCAGGTATGGTGGAGTTATTGCTGAAGTTCAGGGGAACTTGGATGAGGCTGTTTGACACAGATGATATCAAAGGTAAGAATTTCCTCAGGGAACTGGGAGAGTAAATGAGCAGATACAGTATCTGTGCATACTGAATGGAGAGGATGCCTGTCTCAGAGTGATTCCAACATTGTCAGAATGAACGTTATTCTCTAGTATCATAGACTCACCAATCAATGGAATGATTATTATGATGAAACCCAGTTTTCTAGTAACTCTCATTGTGCGTGGATTAAATAGTGTAACCACAAGTAATGGGTGGGTCATGACCATGAAGAGTGATTTTTCACCACCAGTAAGAAAGTCTCTGCTTACATTTTCCAAGGGATACAAATATTTTAATGTCAGAAGCATTTTCTAAAGTTAACCATTCTGAATACCCAGAAGTCAGTTTTCTTCTAAAATGATGGCTTGTTTTTGCTCCCAATGCTTTTATTCTCAATCTGACTGAAGTGTTGGTAGGATGCCCACCTAGTGCATCCCTGATATTGTAACTGAAGTTGATGGATTCACTTCTTGGTGATTGTGGAGCCAAAAAGCACAACCAAGGCAGAAGTAGGTGAAGAAGGTTTATTAATTGCACAAGCAATGGAGAACACTGGAGCTCCCTCCCAAAGCATTTTTTTCCCCAAACAAGGATTTGGGGAGTTCTTTTATTGTTAGGTCATAGTACAGTTTATGAATATTCAGTTAAGGAAAAGGCAGATCAGGGTTAATTCCCAACAGTCATGTTCCTTTAAGTCTCATTGGTAGAATGTACACATGCTACTACATATGTTGTATGATCCAGAAATGGCTGCTTGGTTTCTCCCAGAGGAGGAGAATTTATAATACTAATGAAAGTATAATGGGGACATTTCACTTCAGTTCACATAAGAGCAGTTTGAGGCAGCTAGAACTGGCTTCAGCTAGCTTGCTTGTGGGAACCTTCTGTGGTTGGGCTCTTCCTGAAACTCTCCCTCTGCAAACACTCAACAGATAATGTTGGTTTTTCTCAGATCCTCTGTACCCCTTTCTTTGCTTAGTTCCCTCTGGTCATGGTATCTGTGCCTGTGTATCTATTTGGCAAAACTATGTTACACGTCAGTTGTCAACAAAGATCAAAACGGAGAGAGACTGATTATTGCCTATGGTGAGGTGACTTTCCTTTGTGTGTATTTGTAAAGAGGGATCACAGTTCCAGGACTCGCCTCCCAACACTACTTGTCAACGCAAATGTCCCCGCAGTGGACGAGTTCTGCCTGGCATTCTGCCCTGACACCTAAACTCAGGGGGCTGTCACTCAGACACAAGAGGGCGAGTCTTGCAAACTGTCCAATCAGAGGCGGCGCCGGGGCAGGTGGGTGGGGCGAAGCGCGCCAACCGACCCGGAAGTTGCTGCTGTCTCCAGCCAGGCTGGGCATCGCGTCTCCCCGCCATTAAAGGGTCTACGTGGCTCTGCTGCCTATTCTGTCGGGTTGTGACCTGTACCGACCTCAGGAGTTGTAGGAAGGACACCAGGGGTCCCAGTAAACGTAGAAATGGTGAGTGTGCCACCCCAGGGAGAGAGGAAGGGGAGGAGAGGCTGGTCGGACCGGGCCGTGGCGGGACCGGCCTCCCCGCGGTCACCTCCGAGTCTGCGGACCCGAGTCCGCGGGGGCGCCGCTCGGACCTCAGTCCCCTCCGGCCGCAGCGTGGGGGCCGGGCCGGCAGCCGGGACCCCGGGCGTCCTGTGGTCACTGCGCGCGGCGACTTCGGCCCCGGAGCCTCTCTGGGCAGCTCTGCGCCCGCAGCCCCGCGTGTCCCCAGATGGTGCGGTGACCACGGGGAGGGTCATCAGGGACAGTCGTGACTCGGTCTCCGGGGCTCCTGCGTGGGAGGAGCTGTGGGCTGTGGGGTCCCCAGTCCCTCCTTTCTCCCCAGGGGACACCCATTTTCTTCTGAGTTTTCCATGTATTTGATGAGCAGGGTCTCACATCCACGACATTGTCCCCCCAGCCTAGGTCTTCCTAGGGCTGGCTACAAATGCCTAAATTTCCAAAATCTTGCTACATTCCCCAATGCCAACTTCCTGCCTCTGATTCACAGCATTATTATCAACTATTTGTCCTCCTTGTTGGATTTGAAACAGATTCAATATTTTAATTATCATTTTCTCACAGTCAATTGATGGCTGTTTTTAAAAAATCAGATTTATTTTGTGTGTGTGGATATTTTACGTGAGTGAAAAGCAGCCTATAACCACCTGGAACTACGTTGTATGAAATCCTTGTGCCCCTCCCCCCAGGATCTTTTTGGGCACAGACATCTTATGGAAAGCCCTTGGGGTGGAGGTTCCTCTTGAGAAAATATCCTGGGTGATCTGTCCTGTCAGCGCTGCCCCTACCTGAGTTACTCACCTTTAAAAAATTTATTCAATTTATTTTAGTCTCAGTTTTTGAATGAATAAAAATTTATTTAATCAGTACGACTTGAAACTCAATATAAAATATTTCCAAAGAAGCAGGAAAGAGGTGAATTTCAGGAAAAATAAAATATTACCAAAAAAAGTAAATAAAATAAATAAATGAATAAAATATTCCAGTTTTACACTGCATGTACTAAATTCTTCTTTCCCTTTTTTCCTCCCATCATGGGTAGTAGTATTCTGAGGTCTTTTATTTTGGGTGACTTCACATGGATTTCCAGGGCTTATACTTGCAGACCTGAAGTGTTCAAGGAGGATTTATAGTTTATAAAACAATTGCCTGTCATGGAAATAATCCTATATTAACATCTTTTTTTTTCCAGAATGCAGTACATTCTTGTGGGGTTTTTTATTGAGCCAGCAGAATGCCATACAATTTTCTTCCCTCATTTCCGCATAAGGACTGGTTTGAGTGTTTTAGCTGGATCTTTCAAACACTAGGTTTGTGTATTTAAAATATCAATAGTGGTTCAAAAAATCGCCAGTGGAGGCAGAGGCCTGAGGGCAGTGAAACTAAGCTAAAACCCCCTTGGGCCTGCAAAGGGAAGGACTTGAAGGTCCTCTGTTCTTCGTGGGGAGCCTCCCCCTGCAGGTGTCCTACTGTTCACACCCCCATGGAAGGAGCCTCTATACTGAGAGGAGCTGCAGAGCCCTGGAAAGCTGGGGGTGCACGTGCTCCGGGGGGTGGGGAGGTGATGCCCTTTCTGAGGTTGTAACTGTGGTACTTGGGCCTCTTTCTAGACGTAAGTGGGAGTTTTGGATGCACAGTGTAGGTGCACTCAGTGTAATTTGTTTACATTGAGAAAGTCTGTGAAAGTCAGGAGTTCTGTGTCCTGGATTAGGGTCCATTAATTTGGGAGTTGATTTGGGTCAGAACCTTAAACTGACTCCAGCTGAGTTTTCCTCATTGTGAGAAGGGAAGCCTGAGAGAGGGAGCATTTGCATTATTCCCTGGGGAGAGGAGGGTGTGTGGAGCTCCCTGAGTTCACTCCTGTGGCTGCTCAGGTGCCCCACCCTCCTCCACCAGGGACTGACCCACTCCAGGGGTTCTGTCTCAACGAGGAGGGTCAGGAATATGGAAGCTTCTGAGTGTGGCTTTCCTTCTGTCCTGTGGGAAACAGGCTGCTTATCTGTGCTGATTCCAGTATTTGTGTTTCTTTCCTTTGGATTCCTTTATCGATTGAATAGTGCAGCCCTTTGGCTCTAGTTTCCCTTAGCACTTGGGCCCTGACACAGAGTGGTGTCCTATGTACAACAGTTAAAATTAAAGAATATAAATTTGTGTTTATTTGAAATAAATCTATAAGACAGCAAAGTCTAACTTAAAAAGACTCACTGCCAACATCTTGTGTTCCCCTCCAACTCTGTTACTCAAGTCACCCCAAATACACAGTTTCAATCATTTTTGAGCCCCTATTAGTGTTTCTTTATATAATCAATTGAGAATGCATATTTTTCTTACCCACTTTGTCCTTGTAGTGAGCAGTCAGACTCCACACTTTGGATGACGCTCACAGCTTCAGCCTCACCCCACCCTCTTCCCTTTGTGCCCCCACCTGGAAAAGCTGATGAGAAAGCCTGAGTGTTCTCTCCTCTAGAGCAGGCAGGAGATTCCACCACACAAGCCCCTGCCTGTGTGCAGAACTCTTGCCCCGGCCCCACCCCCACCCCCAAGCCCAGTGCACACCCAGGCCAGGCTCCATTCCTTGCTTTCTGAGCCCTTCCAGAGCTGCTTGCCAGGCTGACCTGCCCTCCCCCTCAGACCTCTATTATGTGTCTTAATACTTTTTTTACTCAGTATGTGTGTGTACACGCCACCCGGGTATCAGTCTTAACAAGAGACCCCTCCCCCCTGCAGGTGACCAAAATAGTTGTGCCCTGATCAGCATGTCCAGACATGAACCCCCCCCCGGGGTGGGTCTGTCTTCTCCTGCTCTGACTTGCTCACCTGCTCTGCTGCCTGGTAGCGGCCTGCACTGTGGGCTGCTGCTTGCTGGCGAGCCTGTGCTGTGAGCTGTGCTGCCCTGTGTTGCAGTGTTGACCCACCAAGCCTCAGTTCTAGGTTCAGCTGAGCAGAGTTGGCAGTTCGAAGGATGTATAGGCATTTGGGAGCAGGACTATGGGATTGGGGCCTCCTTAAACGAGTCCTGGGTCAGTGTCTGTGCCGGGATTTGTCTGTGTGTTAAAGTGAAGCTGTGACACAGGCTGGGTTGGTCTGACATACCCTAGGGATGGGGGGTAGACAGGGATTGTACCCTGTGCAGGAATTGGGTCCATCAGATGGTCACTCCTGAAAGAGCAGTCTTTTAAAAAAAAAAAGAGGAGGGGGGAAGGCAGGCAGTAGGTGGCAGGCTGAGTCCACACTCCCGACACCAGAGGGCTCACCAGGACCCCTAAGTACCTCTGCTGCTGCTGCCCCTGCCTCCACTGTGACAAAGATCCTGACCTTTGGGGTTATAAGGGACAACACCCATGTCACTCCTGGGGCATAAGGTATTAGTTCAAACCTGACTTAAGACCAAGAGTTTAAACCTTATAAAGCAACCAGTTGTCATGGGGGAGGCTCCTAACTCTGATGGCACTGTTTTGAGGCTCTTGGGTGGGAAAAAAATTTATAAATAGCAGGGTAGAGAGGCACTCCCTCACCTGAGATCAGCCCTGAGCTAACATCCATGCTAATCCTCCTCTTTTTGCTGAGGAAGACCGGCTCTGAGCTAACATCTATTGCCAATCCTCCTCCTTTTTTTCCCCCAAAGCCCCAGTAGATAGTTGTATGTCATAGTTGCACATCCTTCTAGTTGCTGTATGTGGGACGCGGCCTCAGCATGGCGGGAGAAGCGGTGCGCCGGTGTGCGCCTGGGCCTGGGCCGCCAGTAGCAGAGCATGCGCACTTAACCGCTAAGCCCCAGGGCCGGCCCCTGAAGTATATCCTATAATGAAGAAAACAAAACAAGAAAGATAAGGAGGAAGGGATCAATAGGTAAAATACTTAAACAAAGTCCACAATTTGACCCAATTGGAAATCCAGAGTATTCTGAAAGAATTTACACAGCAAAACAGATAGAGGTACATTGCTCGGCTTTGTGCGTCTACAACACAGGTTCTGTAATTGATTTTGTTATCTGATGTAATGCACCAACTCAGAAACCTTCAAGCAGTTAATAAATATGAGGTGTCAAATTACAGTTATATTTGGGATCCTCATAAATTTAAGTAAAGTGTCCCTGATGATCTTAGAGTTGTTAATGTATATAAGATAGAGGACAAATGTTTCATCTTTAGCCATCAGAACACTGTCTCGCCGAAATTCTCCATAGTCATAACACCCATTGTCGTAAAATATCCCATAGTGAGCTGGGAAGCTCTGATCCAACGATCAAGAATTACAATGAAATGAAGTCTTTGCCACTTGCAAATTGGCTTGACAACTTGGGACTCAAGTGACCCTAACCCCACAAAGTAGTTAGTATGGTCCAATGTAGATTATACAGGGCCTTGAAGGATTGAAAACTGTATAGAAAACCAAGTTAGTGAAGAGTTCATTGTTTCCAATGCGTCCTTTAACAGCCCAATTTGTCCTGTTATTAAACTTGGAAAGAATGAATGACATCTCAGAGTGGTTTACCTCAACTTGAGGCTATGGTTGCACCACACAGACATCTATACCCAGTCCCCAACAGTGTGGAAATTACTGACTAGAACCAATCAGCAATTGATAAATATCCAGCCCTCACAAATTTGACTAAGTCTGTTCTGTCAGTGCCTGTGTCACCAGCCTCTCAGCTGCACTTGGCCTTCCCCTCTGAAGGGACATGATGCACCTTTACTAGGTTCTCCTCATGGATCTTCAACAGCTGTGCCCTCCCACACAGTCATTGCAGCAGGATCCGAACTGCATCCTGGTTTCTCCAAGAACACAGGTACCAAGTTACATTAATGACATCTCCTCTGAGGACATTCAGGACATACACATATTGAAAAAAGGAGCTCACAAAAGGTGGATGGGACATTGATATGCATATAATATGAGGCCCTGCCAATTTTGTTACATTTCTGGAAATTATTTGCTGCTCTGATACGTGCTCCTTCTCTGACACCTTGAAGAAATAGCTGTTGTTCCCCTCAGCACCCACAACATCTACTAGGTTTTCTTGATGTTTGGGAGGTGATATATTCGTTGTTTCCAAGTTTTACTTGACCGCATTTGTGCTGTTACTTGTAAATTTGCCACCTTGAGTGGGCACCCCTGTACCAAAGTCTAGAGACTCTTCAAATTGTCTTACAGGAAACACTCCTGTTAGTGCCCTCAGAGCATACCTCACTATAGAGGCTTAGGTGATCTTCTGTCATGCCACCTGGGGGACCCATCATGGCCTTAAGTTTTCCATAGGCTTCTGATGCAAGAACCTGCTCTAGGCCCCACACTATATACCGTTAGAGCTGCAATGACTTCTACTTAGAAGGTGATCCTGACATAGATGGCCCTGAGTGTGGGGCCAACTATTGAGCAGTCCATTTTGACTTGGGACCTGGGAATGACACTCCAAGAGTTCAGCATGGCTACTGAGAACCCCTGGAGACATGATGGAGCAAAACCTGGCCTTCTGGGATATCCTACCTGCAGGAGGGTTTGGTCTTCCCTGTCCTCAAGTCTCTTGCCAGGTGCCATGATGCCATGAAGGAGGTCATCCCTTTCCCAGACCCCCAGGATATGTCTTTAGGATTCTGTGAATGAAAAGCAATGGGAGTTCAGAGACTTTAGGGATGACATCACCACCTTTGTACATGATGAAGCTCAGTCAGTTTCTGCTTTTTATGTCTTAAATGGAACATCTCTGATGCAGGACCGGACACAAGTGTCATCATAACTGAGCATACATCCAGCAGTCATCTTAGCACCAACCAACAACGGGCTCCAGCTGTAGGCATTACAGACTGTGGGTGATTCCCTGAGAGTTGTCCCTTTGTGGTAAAAGAACTGCAGGAATCTCTTGCCTCTTGTAGTTACCTACAATAGAAATCAAAGTCACGCTTGTCTCTACACTTACGAAGGCCACACACCAAGCCTCGCCAGGACACTCTTTATCTACATAGGAGTTCCAGACACTACTGATAGTAATGAAGGCACTCATTTCACTTCTCAGAATATACAGTACAGGGCTCTAAACAAGGCATTCAGTGGAAGTTTCTCCTCTCTTCCAAGTCTCAAATAATTAATTGAATGAAAGATGTTCTGTTTCTGTCATCAGTCAGTCAACAGGGGTGAATATTAATGCATCAGTCTTTATCTTTTTTTTTTTTTCGCTAATACACTTGACTCTTTTTAAGAGCCATTTTATGTTTACAGAAACCTCGATGGGAAAGTACAGAGATTTCCCACATAACCCCTCTGCCTCCACTCCCTATATTTTATACCTTGATTTACTGGGCTACATTTGTTACATTTGATGCATGAAAGTTCATAGTTTACATTAGTGTTGACTCTGTGTTATACAGTCTCTGGGCTTTGGCCAATATCGAATGACATGTCTCCATTATTTCTGGATCATATGGAATACTTGCTCTGTCCTAAAAATCTACTGTGCTCCACCTATTCATTCATCCTTACCCCACTCCCAAATCCCCGGCAACCAGTGATCTTTCAGTGTCACATACTTTCATTTTTCCAGAATATCATATACTTGGAATCATACGGTATGTAGCCTTGTCATATTGGCTTCTTTCACTTAGCAATATGATTTTAAAGTTTCTCCATGTCTTCTTCACTTGGTAACCTCATTTCTATTCATCACTGAAGAATACTTCATCCAGTGGATGTACTAGTGATTGTTTATCCATTCCGCTATTGAAATTATCTTGGTTACATCTAGGTTTTGACCATTATGCATAAAGCTCCTATAAACATTCATGTGCAGGGATTTTGTGAACATCAGTTGTCACCTCATTTGGGTAAGTTTGAAAAACATGATTGCTGCATCATATGGTAAGTGTAGGGTTAGTTTTAAGAAACTTCCTTTTTTCAAATAGGCATACCAGTTTCCATTCCCCAGCAATGAGTGAGGGTTCCTGTTCCTCTCCATCCTCACCATCGTTTGTTGTTCTCAGTGTTTTTATTTTTTATTTATTTATTTTTAAGTGTTTTTGTAATTTTATTTATTTATTTATTTTTTTCCCCAAAGCCCCAGTAGATAGTTGTATGTCATAGTTGCACATCCTTCTGGTTGCTGTATGTGGGACGCGGCCTCAGCATGGCCGGAGAAGCAGTGTGTCGGTGCGCGCCCGGGATCTGAACCCGGGCCGCCAGCAGCAGAGCGCGCGCACTTAACCGCTAAGCCATGGGGCCGGCCCTCAGTGTTTTTAATTTCAGCTATTGTAATAAGTATCTGGCGATATTTCATTCTTCTTTTCTTTGCAGTTTTATAGTGACATATGATTTTGAGCACGTTTTCATGTGCTAATTTACCCGCTATATGTCATTGCTGATTTAAGTGTTCAAATGTTTTTCCCATTTTTAATTGAGTTGTTTGTCTCTTTTTCTTTTGGGTACCAGTCCTTTATTAGGTAAGTGATTTTCAAAGATTTTCTGCCAGTTTGTGGCTTGTGCTTTTATTCTCAACACTATGTTTCATGAAGTGGAAGATTTTCATTCTATTGAAGGCAAACTTTTTTTCTCCCTTGGATTTTGCTTTTGGTGTTGTATCTGAAAATTAATCATGAAACCCAAGGTCACCTAGCTTTTCTCCTATTTTATCTTTTAGGAGCATTGTAGTTTTACATTTTATGCTAAGATCTAGGATTCATTTTGAATTAATTTTTGTGACAAAGTAGAGTCTATGCCTAGATTACTTTTTTTTGCATGTGGATGGCTAGTTTTTCTCACATTAGTTATTAAAAAGACTATGTTTTCTCATTGAATTGCCTTTAGTTCTTTGTCAAAGATGTGTTCAGTATATTTGTGTGGATCTGTAGGAAAGCAATTGGGTTTTGTATATTAGCATTTTATCTTTCAGTCTTCCTCTACACTTTTCTTAGTTCAGGCAGTTTTCTTTGTTATTGATGATTCTTTGAGATTTTCTCCATGGAGAATCTAGTGCCACAAGAGCAGTTTTATTTCCTGCTTCCTAATCTATGTACCTTTTATTTCCTTTTCACGTCTAATTGCACTAACTAAGAATTCCAGTACAACGTTGGCTAAGAGTGGTGTGAGGAGACTTTCCTTGTCTTCTTGATGTTGCTGGAAAGCATCTAGTTCGTTCAGTGTAGTCCACTAATATTAAATGAGAGCCCAGTTGATGTAGAGGTAGGTGTGGGCAGAGGGGAAGCATTCTCCAGTCTGATGTTTTGGTCTCATTCTTTAGTGAGCATGTGTCCCTGGTCTTGACCTTATATGATATAATAGAAAGATACTTGGTCTCTGTCTTTAGTTCCTAGCAAAAGCTTCTTGAAGCCCTTGGAATTCCTTGCATGATAAGGGTGATAGTGTCTCTTGTTTTAATGAGGCAACTCTTGGCCAACTCCTAGATAGCTTCAGGATGGTGGTTGGACACCAGAAATACCAAGCCGTGAATAGAGCCTTGGAATTTTCAGCCCCAGCTCCCAGCATCTGTGGAGAGGAAAGGGGATGGAGACTGAGTTAATCACCAATGGGCAATAGCCAATGATTTAATAAATTGTGCCCATGTAATGAAATCTCCTTCAGAACTCTTAAAAACAATTCAGTGGGCTGGCCCCGTGGCTTAGCGGTTAAGTGTGCGCGCTCTGCTGCCGGTGGCCTGGGTTCGGATCCCGGGTGCGCGCCGACTCACCGCTCCTCTGGCCATGCTGAGACCGTGTCCCACATACAGCAACTAGAAGGATGTGCAGCCATGACAGACAACTATCTACTGGGGCTTTGGGGGAAAAAATAAATAAATAAAATCTTTAAAAAAAAAAAAAATTTCAGAGAGTTTCTGGGTTGCTGAACACATCCAGGTGCTGGGAGGGCGGAGTGTCCACAGAGGATGTGGAATCTCTGCGGCCCCCTCCGCCTCCACTCCCCTCACCCATACCACCACCCTACTTTGCCCTATTCATCTCTATCTTTTGTCTGCTCCTGAGTTCTATCCTTTATAGCAAACCAATAGTAGTAAGTAAAGAGATGCTGAGGTGTCAATCATTTCAGTAAATTACCAAATGAGGTGTTGAGAGAATCTATGAATTTGTAGATGGCTGAGTAGAAATGTTGGTGGCGTGGGCACCCCATTTGTTATTGGCATCTAAAGAAGGGGCAGTTTGTGGGACTGAGCTCCTAACCTATGGAGTCTGACGTGAACTCTGGGTAGTTGTATTGGAATTGAATTAAACTCTTGGACAGCTCTTTGGTGATGTAGAGTTGGAGAAGTGCCATTGGAACAGACACCAAGTATTTGATATCAGGAGGGGAAAAATGCCTGTCATCCTCAAAATTGCCCCACCTTTGAGAGCAGAAAAAGCTAGAAGCAGCTCAGGTTGGCTATTTCAGTGCCCACTAGTCAGGTAGGCTCTACAAAAATCTCAGTCAGGTATGCTCTTGTGAAATAGATTGTTTTTAGGACCTGCCTTGTTAAGAACAGAATATTTTGGGTATTTTTTAAAATTGCTACTTTCTTGTCTTCTTTCTAGTTGAGGAGACAGTGGTTTACCCTGTGACCTCAATTCTCTGATGGAAGAATTGTGGATTTCAAGTTTCTTGGTTTTTTTCTTTTGAGAACTGGAATCTGGGTTCTTAGCTCCTTGCATGACAGACCAGAGACCAGAAGTCTGACTCCTTTTTTCCTGTTTTATTGAGAAAAAATTGACATGCATGACTGTTTAAATTTAAGATGTACAATATGATGGTTTGATTTACACATATTGTGAAATGATTACCACAGTAGATCAGCTAACATCCATCTTCTCATATAGATACAATAAAAAGAAAAGAAAGAAGAAAAGAATAAAGAAAATAAATTTTCTGTTTGTGATGAGAACTCTTAGAATTTACTCTCTTAACAGCTTTCCTATGTATCATACAGCAGTGTTAGCTATAGTTCTCATGTTGTACGTTATATCCCTAGTACTTATTTATCTTATAACTGGAAGTTCCTACCTTTTGAGCACCTTCCTCCAATGGCGCCTTTCCCCCACATCCCATCCCCCACCTCTGTTAACCACAAGTCTGATCTATTTTTCTGTGAGTTTGGTTTTTTTTTAGATTGCACATATAAGTGAGATCATAAACTATTTGTCCCTCTGTCTGACTTATTTCACTTAGCATTACGCCTTCAAGTTTCATCCATGTTTTCTCAAATGATAAGATTTCCTCGTTTTTATGGCTAAATAATACTCCATTGTGTATATATGTATGGGTATGTGTGTGTATATATATATATCACAACTTCTGTATCTGTTCATCCATTGATGGATGTGTATCTTCTCTATGGTAGGTAGGGGCCTCAGTGAGTGAGGACGTCATCATTGATCACTGTTTCCCCACCATCTAATACATCTTAAACACTGTTGAAGAAACTGCTCTGGTGTTGATGTGAAAAATGGACAGCAATACCGGAAGTCCTGCATTCTTGGGATTAACAGCAATGGTTACCCATAAAGATAAAGGCATAGACAGAGTTCATCTTCATTTTAGCCATGGTTAAACCTTTTCCTGCATGTGCTATTTGATCATGATCCAGATACATGGGTGTCTGGAACTCGAGACTTCCATTGCTTTGGGCCGTGGGTATTTGTGGTATTTATGTTTCTGTTTAACATCAGTTGAAAGGATTTGAAATTGCCTTTTGATTAAGCATATAATTTTGCTGCTATTCAGACTGAGTGACACAATTTGTTCCCCATGAAACCTTCGAATTTCTCCCAGTCTGAAGAAGGTTCTGGTCATCTGCACAGTTGTAGCCCATCATGGGTTTCCTATGAGTAGAGTGATGTCTGTGCAAGTTCAATGAGATTTCCTGGTTAAACCACTAAAAAGACTATGAATGTTTACTGGATAATGGTCCAAGGAGTAATTGAAGTGACCTGTAGGCAGCACACAGTATCATTTTCAGTAATATCCCATGTGGTGGCAAAGGAGGTAAATTTGACATCCTCAAACTGGGAAATTTTCTGTACCTTTTTATAAGAGAGATAGCTGGGAGGCTTTTGTTTCAGTGATGCACAAAGTCCCCAAAGCCCATTTTTGCTCTTTTCAGGGATCATTTCCGTATGTTTACATTTCCAGGAGCTGTTATGGAAGATGGGGTAAAACATGACAGCATTTTTTTCATTAAACAAGAATGGAATTCCACGGAGCCAGCCCCATGGCGTAGCGGTTAAATGCACGCACTCCACTGCTGGTGGCCCAGGTTTGGATCCCTGGCGAGCACCGATGCACCGCTTGTCAAGCCATGCTGTGGCGGTGGCCCATATAAAGTGGAGGAAGATGGGCACAGATGTTAGCCCAGGGCCAGTCTTCCTCAGCAAAAAGAGGAGGATTGGCACGCGTGTTAGCTCAGGGCTGATCTTCCTCCCAAAAAAAAAAAAAAAAAAAAAGAATGGAATTCCAAACTTGTTCCCTTTTGTTTGTGCTAATTTATGTTTTGTTAGCATTCTAGAGATTATGTGATTTTGTAATTATTAGTATCTCATTTTATCCCCTGCCCCCATCCTTCCTCCCGTGATGCAAATGAAGAAAGACAAGCATGGGGTCTTACCCAAATTCTCATAGCTCATAACAGTGGAATCTCTTAGATTTGAAGGCATACTGTGTGCCCCTCTCCTGGGCAATGTCAAAAATTTCAACCTTGCAAGAACACTGCAAGGTTTGTATGATTATGCATCTTTACAATGTGGCATCAAAGTTTCCAAACGGGGCTCATTGGCAAAATGGTTCTCTTGTCACTTATGTGACTTTCTGGAAAAGAGAAATGTATAGTAACCTAAAACAGATCCATTTTTAAGGATGAGAGGGTTTAGTACAAATGGGCACCAAGAGAGTGTAGCTTTGGGGTGATAGAGTGTTCTCCATCCTGGTGGTGGCATAACTATGCATTTGGGAACACTCACAACTACTCTTAGTATGTGTATATGCTAAAAACAATGGATAGAAGACAACAAAAATGTCTTCACATGCTAGGAGAATGTGAAACTGTCCTGAACTTGATTGCTACGTGTGCAACATGTTCTTTCACCACTTTTGGTTCCTTCTTAGGGAAAAAGTGTAAGGCGTGGGGAAAAAGGATAGAGGCCACTATACACTTTTCTTGGTACCTGGTCTGAAGTTAGAAAACTCCCTCTGGGACTACACCTGCCCTCATGTCATTCACATAACTGGTGAGAAAGTGATAGGGCTCCTGACATCCGTCTGAGTTGACACCAGGTTTCTCGGGTCACATCCTGGGAATGCGGTGGTCTGAAACATAAAGGTGCATCTAACACATCCTCACAGTGGGATCTGCCTGGGTGCATCCTCCTCTAATCCTTGGGCATCAACATCATGTCTTCCCAGAGCAGGTCTTGAGGCCATTGTCAGCTCTTAAGTTTCTGAATTCAGGCCTACTTGGTACCTCCTTGCTGGGAAACATGTTTCAATGCAACATCTGTCCCACTCTGCAAATTTTCTGTTATGTTGAGCTTAAAATCAAAAGAGCCAGTTATTTTACCAGGAAAATGTGTTATTTGGTAATAGTAGAGGAAATACAAATTAAGACATGAAAATTATGGTGAACCATAGGCAGGTAGGGAGAACAGAGCAAATGAGCTTGCTGTTATAGAGGAAAAGAGGAACCTGGAAGAGCCCATTGAGAACAGAAGTCCATTGAAGGAGAAGGAGAGTTCAGGGGGGTGACAGTGGCTGAGTGTGGTGATTTCTCGTTGGCTGAATGTGGTGGTTTCTCATTGGCTGAGCTGTTGCTGGGCAAGGAGAAATGCTTCCTTCCTCCTGCTGGGGTCTGTAAAGTAAGCTGCTTCCTGCTGGGGAATGGGAGGGACAATTCTTCTTGTTTGGGTTCTGCAAGGTATGGTGAGTAGCAGTGGGTGAGAGTTTTCCCTTCAGGGCTTCCTGACTCCATTTTAAATGAGATTCCCTGTATTTTCACATTTGTAATCCTAGGTGACTGTGATGTGAGGCAATGCAGAACCCAGAACCCATGTCATGAGGCACAGGCCTCTGGAACACAATACTCCCCACTGTCACATAAACATCACCTCTGCACCAACAAGCAAAGTTTAACAGTAGTCTCAATACCACCAATATTGTCAAAGATTTGTCTTGCTTTATCCCAGCTCTGGGAGTCCCTCAGGTGCCCAGCTGTACCTAAATCACTCTCCCTGAGATCTCTGGCACTTTCCACCATGCGGTTTCAGTGGCTCATGGGCTGACAAACCACAGCTTCCTCACCTCAGAACCTGCCTCCAGAGTGAGTTTGGAGCCCACCCACCAAGGCCAGTGCTTACTTTCTTTGGAACAGGACCCACCCTGCAGAGTTCCAGCCCTGAGGCCTGTGGGAAATGGTAATCTCAGCCAGACCCTCCAGAGTCACAGGGCCCCCTCCATGGGGGATCCCATTCACACGGGTCCCTGAATGCAATGGCCACCACGTCAAAGGAAGTAGGGAGAAATTGTGGGGTTTTCCGCCTTTCCTGAAGTGTGCAGGTGACATCTCCCCGCTTTGTCAGAGATCACACCCACTGTTTCTTGAAGGGAAGAGGCAGAAATGAGCCAAGCCTCCTACCAGTGTGCTCCTGCAACAACTTCCAGTGCTTTCCTGGGTCCCCAAGGTGGTGTCTCTGTGGCTGGGAGACCTGGGGTCTGAGGTCCAGAGGCCTCCATTCCCCTATCATGGAATGTTCCAGGGTGGGGCAGTCATAAAGGCTTCAGTAAGGATGGCTCATGGTGCTGACCCACGAGAGGTCTGCTTGCAGGTGAGACCTCAGGGGCTGATGGATCCTGGACCATGGAGACCACAGTGGAGGACAGGGCAGCTGGGTGAGGACACAGACCTTTGTTGTCCACACTGAGCTTCCACTGTAAAAGCAAAGTGAGGAAGGGGCACGTGGTGAGGGGCGTGTTTATGGAAGTGATCATAGCAGCGTGAGGGGCTAGAACGTGAAGCTCACTGCTGCCATTGTGGGCACTGACTCTCCCCTCTTCAGAGCCTGGGCTGTGCGTCTCTGGGCCGTTGTCTGTGAGGGTTTGTGACTTTGGGTGTCTGTGTGTGGGTATATGCAAATGTGTGTCCAGTGAGAAAGCCTTTGTTGACTTTGTATGTCTGTCTGCGGGGCTAAGTGTATGTGTCTTTGAAATCTGTTGTGGTTTTTCAGTCATGTTCTTCCCTAATTGCCCTGGTAGCACCTTTCTTACCACGTTGGGTAGAACTAGTGAGAGCAGACGTCTCTATCTTCTCTCTGATCTTAGAGAGAAAGCCTTCAGTCTTTCATCATCAAGAATGATGGCAGCTGTGGGTTTTTCATTGGTGCTTTATTTCAGGTTGAGGTAGTTTACTGAGGGAGTTTATCATAGTTTATTGAGTGTTTTCCTTGTGAAGAGGTGTTGAACATGGTCTAATACTTGTTTGTATCTATGGAGATGATCCTGTGCTTTTCTATATTGATTCTATTAATGGTTTCTTTTTTTTTTTT